GGGGTGGTGGTTGGTAGTGGATTTGGGGACCAAAAGCCTTCTGAGTCCCGAGTTTTGGTTGTGCTGTTGCACTTCATCAATTACTAAAAGAGTGAGCGAGCTCCCCATCTTTGAGATTTTCTAGTTATGATTGTTTGTGCCATCGTCGGGTTTGATAAAGACTTGTTTTCTATGAAATAAGCGTGCCGGAGTATTTCCGATCTCTCGTTTTGTGGGGATATCAAGCAGTAGGGAAAAGTGCCAAAAAAGTCCTAAACCTTTTGCATTAGTGCCAATTTAGTCCTAAATCTTTTTTTGGTGCCAATTCAGTCCTAAACCTTTTGCATTGGTGCCAATTTAGTCCTAAACCTTTTTTTGGTGCCAATTAAGTCCTAAACCTTTTAAATTGGTGCCAATTCAGTCCTAAACCTTTTGTTTTTGTGTCAATTTAGTCATTCCGGCCAATTTTGACCGGAATTTGCCGACGTGGACGCCTGCTGGCCGGCGGCCGGTCACCGGCGCCGACGTGGACAACTTTAATAATATTTTAATATTTTTTTTGAATTTTTATTTTTTTCATTTTTTTTCTTTTTTTTCACTTTTTTTTTTGTCTCTCTCCCTCCTTCCTCTGGTCGGCGAGCTCGACCTCGCCGGCCACTGGCGAGGGCGGCCTCCGGCGAGGTCGCTGGGCGAGGCTCGACCTCGCCGGATCGGCGAGGTCGGGCCTCGCCCGACCATGGCGAGGCTCGCCCTCGCCGGGAGGCCGCGGCGAGGGCTCGAGCCTCGCCCGGCCGACCTCGCCGGCCACCGGCGAGGGCGGCCTCGCCGCGGCCTCCGGCGAGGTCGGCCGGGCGAGGCTCGAACCCTCGCCGGAGGCCGTGGCGAGGGCGAGCCTCGCCATGGTCGGGTGAGGCCCGACCTCGCCGGATCCGGCGAGGTCGGGCCTCGCCCGGCGACCTCGCCGGATCTGGCGAGGTCGGGCCTCGCCCGCCGACCTCGCCGGATCCGGCGAGGTCGAGCCTCGCCCGACCAAGGTGAGGCTCGCCCTCGCCGCGGCCTCCAGAGAGGTCGCTGGGCGAGGCCGGACCTCGCTAGATCCGACTAGGTCGGGCCTCACCCGACCATGGCGAGGCTCGCCCTCGCCCGACCAAGGCGAGGCTCGCCTCACCGCGGCCTCCGGCGAGGTCGCTGGGCGAGGCTGGAGCCCTCGCCGCGGCCTCCGGCGAGGGCTAGCCTCGCCATGGTCGGGCGAGGCCCGACCTCGCCCAGATCCGGCGAGGTCGAGCCTCGCCCGGCGACCCGTTGGGAGGCTCGCGGCGAGGCCGCCCTTGCCGGTGGCCTAGCGAGGTTGAGCTCGCCGGCCTCTGGCCTCTGGCCGGTCGCCGGACCGGCGACCGGCCAGAGGAAGGAGGGAGAGAGACCAAAAAAAAAAGTGGAAAAAAAAGAAAAAAAGGAAAAAAAATAAAAATTCAAAAAATGTTAAAATATTATTAAAGTTGTCCACGTCGGCGCCACGTCGGCGCCGGTGACCGGCCATCGGCCGGCAAGAGTCCACGTCAGCAAATTCCGATCAAAATTGGCCGGAAGGACTAAATTGACACAAAAACAAAAGGTTTAGGACTGAATTGGCACCAATTTAAAAGGTTTAGGACTTAATTGGCACCAAAAAAAGGTTTAGGACTAAATTGGCACCAATGCAAAAGGTTTAGGACTGAATTGGCACCAAAAAAAGGTTTAGGACTAAATTGGCACTAATGCAAAAGGTTTAGGATTTTTTTGGCAATTTTCCCTCAAGCAGTACATGTCGTGATTCACTATACTACACATCAAATAAGGATTTACGTTTGGTAGTCATGATAAAATTCAAAATTTGATAAAATTTATCTTATCCCGTGTTTGGTGCCTGCTCAAGTTAAGATAAATTAGATTTAAGAGGAATATAGCTTGGACAAAATTATTTCATGAGGGAGATGAAATAAATGTGGATAGGATTTATTATATCCATAATATAAAATTTATTTTTCTTGAAAAATAAATTTATTAAATTAATAAAAATTAAAATAATATTTGAATTCTAATATAAAAACTCAAAATAAAAAAAATAACAACATTTTTGTTTTTATTTATACTCTAGGCCAGTTCCACTGGTCGCTCCGATTCCCAATTCCAAAAATTTGGAATAAAAAACGGAATCGATTCTCACGAGAATCACCAAGAACCGGCTGGTTCGGTCCTATCGGATTCTCACTTGGCCGCAACTGATGCACAGTCCTACTTATTTTTTTTAACAAATCACATCATCCTAATGTTTGTTCGACCAATAACCTTATAAAAGAAAACTTGTAATTACAATAAGAAACGATTTGGACTTCTCAAAAGTCAATACCCAAAGTCTTTTGTCTTACCATTCCCATGTGGAAGTATGGCTTCTCGTGGGTTCAGATGCTACTAGGGGTGCGCATGACAACCATTATGTGCTCGGGAACTATTTCTGAACAGAATTAATTTTTTTTGATTCTGTGCCCGGAAACAATTTCTGTGCATTTGAAGGCGTTTGGTAAACTGTCCAAAATTTCTATTCCTGGAATAGAAAAGAACAGAAATGCGTTTGGTAACTACACACAAATTTCTTTTTATTAATAATATTTTAATAATATTTTGAATTGTTTAATTTTTTTTTTCTTTCTACCTAGGCCATGGCTGGTCGCCGGCGGTCGGCGGCCGGCTATCGGCCACAGCCCAGGGCCGGTGAGGGCGTCACGGCCCTCGCCGGCCGCCGGCGGAGGCGAGGGTCCCCCCTGCAGGCGAGGGCGAGGGCTGGACCCTCGCCGCCTGGGCGAGGCGGCTCGCCGTCGGTCATGGCGAGGTCGGCCTCCCCCAGATTGGGCGAGGCCGAGCCTCGCCGTCGCGACCCACGGCGAAGCCGACCTCGCCGTGGGTCGCGACGGCGAGGCTCGGCCTTGCTAGATCTAGGCGAGGCCGTCGCGACCCACGGCGAGGTCGGCTTCGCCGTGGGTCGCGACGGCGAGGCTCGACCTCACCAGATCTGGGCGAGGCCGACCTCGCCATGACCGACGGCGAGCCGCCTCGCCCAGGCGGCAAGGGTCCAGCCCTCGCCCTCGCCGGCAGGGGGGACCCTCGCCTCCGCCGGCGGCCGGCGAGAGCCGTGACGCCCTCGCCGGCCCTAGGCTGTGGCTAGGGCCGGTCGCCGGCGACCGGCCACAACCCAAGAAGAGCAACACAAAAAGAAGAAAAGAAAAAAAAGAAAAAGAAGAAAAAAAACTGATTCTCAAAATTGTGCCGAGAAACAAGAAACAACTTTTTTTTACTTCTTGTTTCTCTTCCAAAACTGTTTCTCGGCACAAATATTTGCAAAAATGTGCCCGGGAATAAAAAGTTAACCAAACGCATTTATGTTCCCAAACTATTTCTAGGAACAAAAGAACAGAAATTTTTACTGTTTGGCATGTTACCAAACGGGCCCTAGATGGCCGAAGTCTTGTAGTCCAAATTGGCTCCCAGATCAAAATCTTCGGGCATGCCGCATGTTTAATGCACACTTTTCCAATATAAAAATTTGTATGTCTCGTGATTTTTATTTTTGGCTGTGGTTAAAAGAAAATGGGTTTGTCTGAACACTAATATGCCAATAACAGAACAATAATTGACATAAAGTCTAGAGAATCCGCGAGACAAAGTTCACAACTAAGGGGTAAAGATGAATGAGTATATAGAGCCTAGCACGTAAGATCCAAAAGTGTGCTTGGCTCTATGTTGACCAGACAAAATTGGATGCAAAAGCTCGTGGGCAATATTCATGTTGAGAAATCAGACTACTCAAGGTCTGCTTATGGTATTCATTTTTAGGACTTTTAATCCCAGGCATGAGCTGATAGTCCACATTGTCAAACTCTAGCAAGCTCCGATATGCGAGTCGTCTCTAATTAACCGAATTTGAAAACGGGGGACTCTATTAAAAAAGTTATACATGTTTAAGGATGTAGCTAAATAGATTAAAATTTTAATCTCGAGATATGAACTTTGGAAGAATAGATTTGATAATAGTGTTGCAATTATCCTAATTCCATAACCAAACCAATCAAGCTTTTCTCCAACAATTTTGTGGAGATGCGACCGTACCTCCGCATCATCAAGAACGATTAGGACTTTCGTATTCGGTAATATCTCTTTAAAAAAAATTGAATCCTTTCGCAACATGATCAACCTCATAATCTCTCTTTAGGATATCGCACATCAACTTGCTTTGCAAAAACCAAAAAACCTCCATGTTGTTTCGCAACAACTCCAATATCCGTAAGGAAACTACAACAGTCGAATCGAGAGGAAATTTGCTCGTGAATGAGCTTGGCAAGAGTTATCTTACCAACTCTGCCCATATCCCCAATCTTTACTATGCATAGATCAGGGCAGCTCGTCCTTTCAAATGTTGCAAGCTGAAATGTGTGTGGCTCGAACTTAATAGCCATTTTGGGTACACTCTTTTCAGAAAAAAATTGGTCTAATGTTTTTTTTTTTGAAATACTAATCCAACAACAAGGTGAATGAGAGCTCACCCTGATGGCTGCATAAGCCATACAATCCATATCTGTAGATTGGATCTCCGAGCTTCAAATCTTCAGGCCTCACCACCTTCCACATCAATTGCATCCAAATGGCCATTACCTTGTTGATGATCTCCCTCACCATTTTGGCCCTTACATCACGCACTTGGGCTAGTGCTTCAGGATAAAGCAACTGAGATTGGGTTAAGCATCTGACCTTGTCACCACGAGTCCCATATCCCTTCGATGTGGATATTGCGGGTCCCATATCCCAAAACCCGGCCAACGGGTCAGACCACCGGCGGCCCTCGCCCGAAGTTGCGCGACCTTGGCGGCCGTGCCTACCCCAAGCCGAGGATGCGAGGCTGGCCGGGGGCAAATTCAAGCGAGAATCAAATCCAGATCTCCAGGGATTTAAAACAGCAAAGCAGTCCAATCCAAGTGAGTCAGGACAGCGAGGATAAATGTAAGGCCCTTAGCATATCAAGCAACAAGGAGAACCCGAATATAAAACTCGAACAAGAGATAGTAATTTGACACAAGGCAGACTCAATTCGAACATGAACTCCACTAAGACAAGCCCGGTTCTAACTTACTAAACCATATAGAAATCTGTTTCAAACGGTACTACAGCAAGTTTTATTGAAGGTAAAAAACAGACTGAAACTCCCGGCCTCTGTAAAGCCCCTAGATGATAGGAAGCCTCTCCTGTCTCCGATCGAAGGTCTTCCAACCGTTGCCTTGTATGTAAAAGCTTCCTTCTGGTGTTGGCTCCAAAAAGAACGACTGAGGGGCAGAATCAGAATCACAGCAGAGCGTTAGGCAAACGAAGAAGAGCGGGGGGGCGAAGGAGAAGTAGAAGAAATAACTAGACAAACTTGAGATGTGCACGGGTACACACGGGGTCGTATCATCAAAGTGCGATACACACACCCACACATATATATAGCTGAGGCATGAAGCAACAATGTGAAAAACGCGGCCAAGGTCATATCTTATTCTCCTTCAAATACTTTGCAATTTCTGCATCAGAAACATCTTGCTAGACTGTGCAAGTTTTTTTTTACAAGGAGGGCATCTGGCAACTTCCAAGGGACAGGTAACCTCATAGCGGGCACAGAATTTCTCCCACGAAAATGACATAGGAGGCGATCAATTCGATAGAGAAGGAAATAAAATAACTGTAAATTTTCACCCCAAAAGTTCATCGGAGCAGCAGCAGGAGCAGCAAGACAACCATTCGATTCGATTCGGTTCGCAATAACAAATCTTCTTATGAACGGATGGATACTCTGCTAACAATGAACGAAGGGATCGCCGCCCAAGCCCAAGGTGGTGGTGATATTCAATCGAACAAAAATGCCCATCTCATCCAAGCCACCATCCTCCTTCGACGCTCAAAAAAAAAAAAAGAAAGAAAGAATTTAAATAGCAATTATAAATGGATCCTCCTTCATCAACCCGATAGAGATAGAGATAGAGATAGAGACCTGGCTGAAACTGAGGGCCTCCGGCTTCCCGTCTAGCCACAAGAAGCCGATGGCCAAGACGAGCGCGCCGTGGGTGAGGGCCACGGGAGAGCAGTTCATCTTGCTGATATGGAGTTGGCACTGCTGAAGGGAGTTGAGTTTGGCGACGATAGCCTCCTTGCCCTTGATCCTCTCCCGGCACTCGAAGTTCATCACCGACTCTTCCCGGTACAGGTTCACCAATTCCGTCCGGTTCGCGTCGAACGTCCGGTAGTAGTTCTCCACGAACCCCTTGGCCTCCGCTGTTATCCGATCCAGGGTTTCTCTATCCAGCATCGGCATCTCTCCCTTCTCCTTCTGCTTCTGGTTCTGTGTGCGATGCAGCCAGACGGTTACCCACAAGAGAGAAAACCTAGAGGGGGAAGGGGCCATCCGCGTTACCTAAGGAAAAGAAGCCGACTGACCCAAAACCCACCGGTCCGTCGTTCGGGAGGCGCAGGGGCAGAGGTTTGATGTAGGTTTTTGGATACAAATTGAGGCAACTTCTGCTGAAAACGCAAGACCAATTTAGGTATATTTTCTCAGCATTTTGCTAAGGATGGTTGGCAGCATTTTGCTAAGGAGGAGGAACCATCGAGGCTTCAGGATCAATTCTCATGGAATGTGTAACACCCCGGTCTACACTGTGTAATATTGTCCGCTTTGGATCCACTGGTCCTCACGGCTTTAAAACGCGTTACACATGGTAGGCCACCCAGGCATTATAAACTAGCCTAGAACTCCCCCTTAAGCGATGTGGGACAAGAGACATGCCCTCCTTGCCATCCTAGAAGCCTGCCAGAAGCCGCTCCTTGCTCAGGCCAGAATCCACCAGCCCCAGCGACCACTCCCCGCCCTCGTCGGACCGGGTCGTTACAGAATGTGTCTTATTTTGATAAAGTTCTTTGTTGTATTATGACTTGCTGCTTTAGGACAGTACTGTGAAATTACTCAAAGCTATTACTTGGAATGCTCCTCACAACTGCTTGTGCATCTATATTCGACGTTTATTCAAATGTGTCTTTCTTAAAAGAGGCAGCCCTATTTTTGTAATTGGTGTCCTGTATTATTGTCCTCCTGCATCACTTATTCACGAAGCATCTTATGAACCCAAATTTTAAAATCCTGTTGCATCAAGGTTGCATTGATTTCCTAAAATGGAAACCTTTTTCAGAACCTGGTTACTATGAAGATGGGAACTTTGGTATAAGGCTGGAGAATGTCTTGGTGGTCAATGAAGGGGATACAAAGTTCAACTTTGGTGACAAGGGGTACATATCATTTGAGCATATAACGTGGGTAAGCTATAATTACATAAAAGTGTATTGCCTACCAGTTGGTGAAGGTGTTTCCTTGCTTTTCGACTTTGGTTTTTTTCATTAACTACACAATTCTTCCCTGTAGTTGGTGATATTTCGCTCTTGTTGACAAATTTGACATTTTCACCATTCTTTATGTTCTCTTTGCTTGGTCACTGTTCCGGTCATCTAATTACATTTTCGACTGGCGACTGGTAGTTGGATTATTTGAGTGGGTAGAATACAGAGAGAATTAAGGGGCAAAAGATACAAACTTGCTTTTATTCGTCTTTGGAAGAGTATAACATTCGAAGACATGGGCAGACCAACAACATTTGAAGCATGAGCAGAAATTTTTCGCAGCCAATGTTCTTGTTTCCTAGAGGCATGATGTTTGTACAAAAATGTCATACCCTGTTTAGTGCAAAAGACTTGACTTGAACATTTACTTCATTAGAAAAACTAAATTATTATCAACCCGTTCAATTTATCGGAGAATCACCACCACCTCATTCTCTGTCATAGGCATCATCGGCGTTTAACGTCTTATGGGATAAATAATTATTCGCGACGAATGACTAATTTAATGTTATTTCCAAATCATCGAGCTCTCTTCCGTGATTCTAATCTGTTTTCTGTCTAGGCACCGTATCAGAGCAAGCTGATCGACTTGAGTTTATTGACGCCTGAAGAGATCGATTGGCTGAACACATACCATTCGAAGTGTAGAGATATATTGGCGCCATACTTGGATGATGCTGAAATGGCATGGCTGAAGAAAGCTACTGAACCTGTCCGTGCATGAGCAAAAAACCGCGGAAAACTCCATTTGTTATATCTATAATTCCTTCTCCATCCTTTATGAATTCCAGCCCCATTTTTTACTTTATGATAAAGGGAAAGGAACTTGATGCTCAAGTGGTTGCATAAAAGATTGCTATTTCACTGTTACCATGTAATACATTGGCTTCATTTTCTGCATGGTAATTCATCGCAATGATTTCGTTCCTGCTTACGTGTTTTCTGAAGGGAAAATTGTCAAAAAAGTCCTAAATCTATTGTACGGCGGCCAATTCAGTCCTAAACCTTTTAAGTTTGCCAATTCAATCATAAACCTTTTAAATTCTTGCCAATTCAGTCCTTCCGGTCAATTTTGGCCAGCCGGCGCTGACGTGGTCGCCGGCCGGCGCCGGCCGTCCGGTCAACGCTGATGTGGCAATTTTTAATTATTTTTTTCCAATTTTTTAATCTTTTTTTTTTTTTTTTTCTGCTTTCTTCCCTCTGGCCGGTCCGGCGACCGGTCCGGCGGCCGGCCAGAGGGGAGAGCCGGCGAGGTCGACCTCGCCGGCCTCTGGCGAAGCTCGCCCTGCCGGCCACCGGCGAGGACGAGCCTCGCCGGCCCCGGCCGGGCGAGGTGAGGTCGGCCGCGCCTCGTCGTCGCCGGGTCGCGACGGTGAGGCTCAACCTCGCCTCGCCGGGCGAGGCGAGGTCGGCCGTGCCTCGCCGTCGCCCGGGTCGCGACGGCGAGGTTCGACCTCGCCTCCGTTGGGCGAGGCAAGGTCGGCCGCGCCGCCGTCTCGCCTTTGTCGGGCGAGGCGAGGTCGGCCGCGCCTCGCCGTCGCGACCCGGCGACGGCGAGGCTCGACCTCGGCTCTCGCCGGGCGAGCCGAGGTCGCCGCGCCTCGTCGTCGCCGGGTCGCGACGGCGAGGCTCAACCTCGCCTCTGCTGGGCGAGGCGAGGTCGGCCGTGCCTCGTCGTCGCCTGGGTCGCGACGGCGAGGCTCGATCTCGCCTCCGTTGGGCGAGGCAAGGTCGGCCGCGCCTCGCCGTCTCGCCTCCGTTGGGCGAGGTGAGGTCGGCCGCGCCTCGCCGTCGCGACCCGGGCGACACGAGGTCGGCCGCGCCTTGCCGTTGCGACCCGGGCGACGGCGAGGCTCGACCTCGCCTCTGCGACCCGGACGACCTCGCCTCGCCTCGCCCGGCCCGGGGGCCGGCGAGGCTCGCCCTCGCGGTGGCCGGCGGGGCGAGCTTCGCCAGAGGCCGGCGAGGTCGACCTCGCCGGCCCTCCCCTCTGGCCGGCCGCCGGTCGCCGGACCGGTCGCCGGACCGGCCAGAGGGAAGAAAGCAGAAAAAAAAGAAAAAAAAGAAAAGAATAATTAAAAAATTGGAAAAAAATAATTAAAAATTGCCACGTCAGCGTTGACCGGACGGCCGGCACCGGTCGGCGGCCACGTAAGCGCTGGCCGGCCAAAATTGACTGGAATGACTGAATTGACAAGAATTTAAAAGGTTTAAGACTGAATTGGCAAACTTAAAAGGTTTAGGACTGAATTGGCCGCCGTAGAATAAGTTTAGGACTTTTTTGATAATTTTCCCATTTTCTGCATAAACGAACAAGCGGCGACATTTAGACTCTTGCAACCAACTTGTACGTCAACAAGGTGAAATCCTTAAGCGTATCGGTGTTGCACCAACAATGGGGTGGTGGTTGGTAGTGGATTTGGGAACCAAAAGCCTTCTGAGTCCCGAGTTTTGGTTGTGTTGTTGCACTTCATCAATTACTAAAAGAGTGAGCGAGCTCCACATTGTCGCGACCTAAAAAAAATTCCTCATTTTTCGGGCTAATGGATTATTAGGACTAAGCCTAACTCGGGCCCTCCCAAGCCCTACCAATTCGCAACTTATGGTTTAAGTCTTTAACATGCAAAAGTTTTCATGCTTGGAGTCGCCACTAATCTATTTGTGGTAGGTCGATTAGAAACCTAAATAAAACATAGGGAGATATGTTTTATTCCTACAAACCAGAGATTCTAAGCCCGGGGACTTGATTACGCTAGATCTGGTCTAACGCCCTTTCGGTACCTTTTCTTTTCAAAAATATTTTGGCAGGCAGTTTGGATCCATTTTAACTTAGTCACTAGCATGTGAGGTGATCATGCGGGTGCGCAAACCACCAATTTAACACCTAGAAAGCATTAAATAAATTGCAAGTTTGGAAGAATTACTTACCTGGAAGCAACGTAAGCATCTGCATTGTTAGCCAGAAAATCACATTGACACCCTAATATGATTTCTAATTAACAAGCAATTCACTCAATTTCTTTTTTTTTTTTTGGATTTTCACTTATTTAAATGAAATCTAGCCTATATGCAATGACATGCGAAAATGACATGCGATTAATGCAACCTAGCATGCAAACTATATGTCGTGCGACGACGTGACCTATTTCTAATGACAGGACGAATGATTTTTTTGGTATTTTCTCAATTTAAATTCGGAATAAAAAAAATGCCTAAATTAACATGCAAACTATGATGACTTAATCTACCCTAGCATGATTTCTTTTTAGGATTTTTGTTAAAATTCGAAATAATAAAATAACCTGAATAATCTATTAAGATTAGAATATTACTTAATTTAAACTAGGAAATAGATCATCTCAAGTCCTAATTTAAATTAAATAACTACTCTATCTTCTAGATATATTTAGGACTCCTAGACATGCAAAAACTCTAATTCAAATCTAATTAATATTTTTTTGAATTTTCTGTTTATTTGAAAAAGGAAAGCAATTAAATAAACAAGGATAGCAACCACATTCAAAACGTCCACGCGACCCGCCATATTTGTTTCAAACTCGGATTAGGCACAAAAATTAAACTATCGGTCATATCTATAGGGTTATAGATATCGACGGAAAGCCGATTATTCAAATTTGGAAAGCGGATAAAAATCATTATCGTACCCAAGTGGTTATGGATAGGATAATAATTTTCCGTATCGCCGCGTATCGAACCTTAGGGATAAGGTCGGATAGTCGTCCAGATACGTTGCTAAATTAGGCAAAATTCCTAATTTTAAGTGTTTCAAATATTGCGGATATCCCAAATATTATCCTAAGATTTAGCAATCCACCAAATAATATCCACGAAATATTCAAACACCGAAAACTTAAGAAATTAAATATTTCAAAAAATATTCGGATAATGATCTTACCTAATTTGTAGATAATCCCCAAATTCAAATCGACTCGGGATCGAGTTTGCGGATCGGGATCGGACTCGGACGACGGGCGACGCGGCGTCGGCGCGGCGGCTCACGGTGGCGTCCGGCGACGGTGGGTGATCGACGGCAGACGCGGCGGTGATGATGAGAGGCGGCAGCGATGGAGCAAGAACGGCCACTGATGCTCGGTGATGGCCTCTCAGTCAAGGAAAGACCAGCGGGTGTTGCTCTCGGTGGTGGTTCAGTTCGTGGTCTGGGGATCGTCGCAGCAAGGTTTCGGGCATGCGCGAACTTCACCACGTTGGTATGGCTTCACGGATCACCAATGTCGCCATCCTCCTCCCGTGAAGAAGTGCATGCGATGATGATGCCAGATGTGTCATCCAGAGAGCACACTTGTGCATGCGATAGCTTTTTGCATGAATCTTGGTGGATGTCAGAAAGAAAAAATGTGAATTGGACCAACACTTGACTTTTCTGGACTTGGTGGTGACTGGGAACCCACTAATGCTTCACTGCAGAGACACCACCGAGAATCAGTTAGAGGGTACAGCAACGTTATCGTCGATGGAAGCAAGGACGGCAGTTCACGGCCACAGGCCTGGCCGGGAGCAGAGGGCGCGGCAACGGACAGCAAGAGGAGCTACGGCAAGGGCGGCAGCAGCACGGGCGGTGACTCGACGATCAGCAAGGCGACCACAAAAGGGTGCAGGGACTTGATGAAATCGCTCGGGAGTGCTGTGGCTTCAGAATTGCTGGTGTTCGCAGGATGAGCTGGACGTGTCGTGGACGACCAGCAACGATGGCAGGAGGAAACCTGGAACGGAGGGACTGATTCCTGTGCGACGTTGGAGCTGTTCTTCGCATTGATCTCTCAGTTTTTCTTTTCTTTTCCTTTTCGTTGAACGAGTAGTGGAGAGACGCAATCAACAGGTAGCGTCTCTGTGGCTTCTGCAAAGGGAGAGATATTTTTATGGTTTGTGCACCACCTATTGTGGCAGTGAAGGACCTTGCTTTTGTCGAACTTGTCTGCAAGCGGATGTTTGACAATTTGGTCAAACTGCGCTCGCCAGTATGAATACAAGCATCACCACTTCATCCATCTTCAATCTCCGAGGGTGCTACCACCTCTCTCAGCTTTCGCTCACGATTTCTCTCTTGAAGCCGTGTCTCTCTCTCTCTCACTTTGCTCTTACTCTCGCTCTCTCTAGGAATTCTGATCTCTAAAAATTATGAGAGCCCCCTAAAATCCTGACCTAATGATGTATATATAACACTAATCTAGGTCAATTAGATGGGCTCTCTAGTCCTAATGGGCTTAGGCTTGGGCTTAGATTTTAATTTAATTTAAATGGGCTGAATTAATTAAGGATAATGGGCTGAATTAAACTCAAATTAAAACAACCGAGCCCGTTTGACTTGTAATTCCCGGCCCTTGCCTTCCGAGCGAGCCGAGTCCCATTCGATGAAATTTAAGCTCGTTCGTCACTGCCGGTTCGATGCAAAATGCAATTAATCTAAAATGAATTTAAACTATATGTTATGCAACCTAAATATTTTTGTTTAGGGGTTAAAAATTTAATCCCTAATTTTGTATTCAAATTACGACTAAATGGTCGCTAAAATTTAGGTGTCAACACACATCTTCGAGATTTTCTAGTTATGATTGTTTGTGCCATCGTCGGGTTTGATAAAGACTTGTTTTCTATGAAATAAGCGTGCCGGAGTATTTCCGATCTGTCGTTTTGTGGGGATATCAAGCAGTACACGTCGTGATTCACTATACTACACATCAAATAAAGATTTACGTTTGGTAGTCATGATAAAATTCAAAATTGAATAAAATTTATCTTATCCCGTGTTTGGTGCCTCCTCAAGTTAGGATAAATTAGATTTAAGAGGAATATAGCTTGGACAAAATTATTTCATGAGGGAGATGAAATAATGTGGATAGGATTTATAATATCCATAGT